TCTATATCGTTATAATTTTTATATTTTTTTAAGCTATTAATGAAAAACGAAATAATTCGCCATTCAAATTGCAGATTTTTAAGTAATAATTTTCTTATTCAAGAATTCTCTACATTGTGAGATTTAATTTTGGCTATCAGGTGAAAACAAATAACAGCGAAAATTATTAGATTTCTTGAATTTTCGTCGTCTAAGCTCAAAATTCGAAGTTCAATAAAATGGTGGCAAAAAATCGTACATCAGATTTTAGATCATTATGAAGGAAACATTTTAATTTTTTCAATTCATTGTAGAATCAGTCATGAAAAAAATTTTTTATACACTATGACAATTATATTACTTTATAACATTTTCGAGAAAAAAAGTATTTTCACTTTTCCACCTGTTGCGTAATCTAAAAACATCGTAGGATAAAATGAATAGTGCATTTTGAAAATGGAAATTTCAAGCTTTAAATTAAATCCAAGTTTACTATTGCACAATTTTGCTTTATGAAATTGTAACAGTTTAAACATATAGTATCCGAATATTTAATTGTTCGAATAGTGTGAATGTAAGCAAACATACATGTAATAATAAAACTGTCAAATTAAGAAAATTTGTTATCAGTTAATTGCAACATTACTTTTACGAGTGTAATAATGTTTAATAATAGTAATGTGTAATAATATTGACTAAGATCAGCAAGATCAATAACATAAAGTTCATTTGCTCGTAAAATCGAAGAAGAAAGTATCAATAAGTTGTCATATTAGATGTAACGGTTTGATATATTAGTATTTAACAAAATACTGTTATGTTAATATTACTATTTATTTGCTTTATACATATATTTTTAATTTTTCTAAGTATGATATTTTAGGTAATTAATTTTCTCTTTAATTAATAAATTAAATTGGAATATATCTTAATAAGTTTGAATCACTAAAATTTTCTTAAGAGATATTAAGGTGAGAGAAACAGAAAAGCTTTATGATACAACGAGGAATACAAGTTTTTATTTATACTATTTGCAAAAAATCATTTCAATGAAAGAAAATAGAAAATATTATATAGTAAGAAAAGAGTGACAATCCTATATATAATTACTTAATCTGTAAATATGTAAAATTATATATGAAAATAATTTTAATACTTAATGACACGAAAAATAAAAGTAAATGATTGTTAGATTACAATTAATTATAACTATCTTCATAATATTATAATAAATCCAAGATAAAAGATGCAATTTTTGTTTCGAACGAAAATACGAAAAAACGTATATTATTTTCTATATAATTGTGTCTAAAAATAAATAATTGCATTATAAATTTAAAAAATTTTTAAAAAATATTTTAAAATATTTTTCATATTTTTATATTAGCTTAAATATTAGCTAAATATACAACTGCAGAAACTATTATTATGATTCCTTTATTAATAGAATAATAGAGAGTTAATAGTAAATAATTAAATAAAATTATTTATATGTAGAATTAATTATCGATTTTTAACATATCTAATCCAATTTAAACTAACCAAATAATTTAATTTTATTTGTACGATTTTAAGAAACTAGTATAGTTACTAAATGATTATACTATTATTATATCCTCTTATTAGTTATTAATTTAATATGTAGATTGAAACATAGATTAAAATAGCTTATTGAGTTAGTAATAAGAGCGGTAATAGTAATTTATAATTAATAATATTGATTACTAGCAAAAATATTAATTATTTAGTAAATATAAGAATTTTAAGAAATTATCTTTATTTTGATTTCAGCATGAAGAGAAATATATAAATAAGATAAATTTATGATCATAAAATATGATTGATCTCTTTAAAGTTCAAATACTTTTAAAGACAAGAAAAAGTAAATTTGTTATTTTTTATTTTTATCCTTTACAGTTTTTTAACTTAGAGAAGAATAAAGAAAATTAAAAATGAAATTAAATATTTTTCATGTACCAATATATATGCAATTATATTTAAAAAAATGTTTATTTCTTAGAAACATTCCTATATATTTATGTTATACTGTCAATATTTATCTTAATTATTTTATATTATTATATTACATCATATAAATTATTTCCAATTAATACTCTACCTAATACTCTAATTTGTATTCGACTTATAAATATTTCTTTGAAAAATTTTTCAAAATCAAGCAACTGATGTGATATCAATAGTGATCTTTTTGCTACTTTCAAATTCAAAATCTATATTTTAATAATACATACACTTTCATAAAGCATATCATCATCGTAAAATTTTTATCACAAATTTTCTAATTTGCAGTTGCCGGTAGACAGATGTGAATAAATTAATAGAGGAACGCATAAATAAATATAAAATCGTTATTAAAGCAAAATTCAAGAAGGATGAGAACGAGTTTGTAAGTATTCATCACTTCCGAATATTGTTTTTATTTTCTTTTTTATTGAAAACGTATAGAGATCTTTTGTTTTGTCTTCCATCGAAGATCTTTCTTTCGTAAAGATAAATATTGACTTGCATATATTAAGTAGTAGGTAATGCAATTATGTGAACACTGGTTGTCGTACGTAGCACACCGTTAGGATCACTGTGCCAAGGACTTGTATTTTTAGAGTTCAATTCCCACAGAATTGCAAGTAACGGGTATTCAAGACGTCGATGTCATTATCCTCCTGATAAATTAGAGATTCAATTGAACAGTTTTTATTTACTTATAATTCGATAATATTGAACTCAAGGCGTTTTACAAGCAAGAAATGCAGATTCTAGTTTTCGACAAAACAAGCAGTTAATGTTTGCATAAAGAAATGCCATACTATTGAGTAAATTTGAATTTTTTATTACTTTTTTTTTATTCGCATTTTTGTGAATTATTTTTAAATTTCTAATTGATATTTCTGTTACAAGATTTTTTTATATTGGTCGAAAAATGATTTATATCGTTTATAAATCTATAAACGAAATAAAATGACGAAAATATCGAAAAACTAAGAAAAATTGAGAAATTAAGAATTTCTTTGTGACGAACTGAAAAATTAGAGTTTCAAAGCTAAAAAATATATGTAAAAGTAGAATATAAATTTGTATAAATTTATTTACCATACTTAAAAAGAAGAAATTGTTTTACTTAATTTTTTTCTCTTGTAAAAGTAAATATGAAATAACAATAAGATATAACGTAAAATCATATGATTCTATATTTTCAATGAAATATGTAGATATTAAACTTTCTTTTTTTATAAGTAAAGCGTAAGTTGTAGGAAGGAATATAAATTAATTTTTTTTAAAACGTATAATATTTGGATTATCTTCTACTTCAGTTTCATTCTACTTTCTGAAGAAAAAGTTGAGATACTTTTTATTCTGAAGATTTCAAAACAGTGTTGATTTACTTTATGATGTACAAAATTTATTATTCAGAATTGCGAATTAGATAAAGTTATGAAAATGAGATGAAGAAATCTCTAAATGAAACTTGATGAAGAAATCTTAATCCTGCTACGATCTCGTAATTGCAGTTTTGCTGCATAGCGACAAACACAATAATAATTGCAAAGGAATTTGAATTTTTTACTTTAAACCATACCATGTCAAATTATCATTGTTTCTCTAAATATTTCTTTGAATATAATATTTCTGACTGATACTTCTCATAATAATATTATACAATATGAATCACGTTGAAAGAATTCAGTGACGGCAAAGTAAAATTGACCAAGGTTAGAAATTTATTTATTGTGTCATTTATCGCTGCACACTAAATTGTAATATCGTGGAATTTCGAGTTCAGATCTTTTTCAAGCTACGTCTTAAGGTTCGTTTGCATTCGACATCCTACGCGAAGATTTATCAAGTTTTTTTCGAAGTGCATTCGATTTCCATTTTCATCGACAACCCGAAATGCTTCATGAATTTATTCATAAATTACTATTAAGAATTTCATATTAATTCGCAAAATTATCACCACCGTTGAGCACATTTCTAGCAGCTTCTGAAATCATATCAAGCTAGCATCAATAATTTTAAAAATGTTGCTTTCCTTTTCCATTATCAAGATTAAATAACCACAATATTCCACATTGTCGATGATTATCTCGGTTATTCTGAAATTATATAAATCTTATAATTAAACTGACTTCTGCCGGAAAGTTTAATCTCTCGAATGAGACCTGCAATATCAGTGTCAGCTCCATTTCGGGGCTATAAAGAAATCAACCATAATCATCTTCCACTGGATTATTCGGGCTCGCCGAAAAGGAGAAGATACCAGAATATCACTCGCGATAATTACGCAAGTGAAAGGTTACGCAAGTTCTGGTATTGGACTGGGACGGGAAAAGCGAAGAACGGCTGGCCGTGGTGTCGCGAATACAGCGGCCGGTGAAATCGCGTTAAAAAGCCGCGTGCATGCATGATCGAAGGATCAATCATCTTTGCTCCTTTTTTTCCACGGGGGTGTGGATCATTCGCTGTTAGAAGTGCTCTAGAGCGAGACGTGGCTATCCCGAAATAAACTTTCTCGGGTTATGTAAAGGCTGGCAACTCAGGCTTGTGTAGACTCGCCGGTATAAAGGTCGGCTGTGCCCCCAACAGTCCAAGAGTTGCTCACGAACTTCACGCCAGCAACCATCGGGAGAACATCGACGCTCTATATGTGACGTTGCCTTTTTATCTGACGCAGCAGACTTATCTCCACCGTTCACACAGCATCGCACTTTCTCGAGAGAGCGTTGTGCTGTTGCACAGGCACGTGTCTCGTCGCGTCATTTCGGCAACATGCGTTCCTTGGTAAGTATCTTCTTTCGCTTTGTGCCACTCTCTTGTCCTCGCCTGCGCCATCTTCTCAATCGCCTCTTTTGTTCATTGTTCCTTGATTTGAATCGAGGTTGAATAACTTTCGCGGCTTTACTTTCTTCACAGTGGCATGTAAACAGTTTTTTCGGATCGAAAACTTTAAAAAATTAATTAATTCTCAACATAACGAGGTCAGAATAGGTCAGTGGCATTAAATCATTCGTTCAAGTGTTTATTAGTTCTTAGTTTCATATGAATAGATTTATATGAATTTTAATGATTATTTATATGAATTTTTATGAATTATGCTTCCTTACGTAACATACAGTTTTGTTAAGAAACTTTGCACAGGTCGCAGAATTATTAATTAAGATTGTTAATACGATCTGAGCAATAATATATATGTATAAATACATTTGTGTACATTTGTATAATGTACATAAATATACATGATATAATATATTGATACATATTAAAATTTAATATAATTTAATTCTAAATAATTAATATTATATATATATAATACATATATTATAATTATATTATTTATATATATAATTATTATTTTATATATATAAAATACATATATTATAATTATATTATAAATATATACATAAATATTATACAGAAAGTATGTAACACTTTCCAATTTAATGAACAATACTTGAAACATAATCATTATTGTTGAAACGAATTGAAAAATTTTCTTCATTTGTTTTTAGTAATTGTTGTAAAATATTATTGCACGAAGCAAAATTTTTTCTATGAAATAAATGAAATTTTATTAATGTTAATGTTATGTATTATACAGAGAATATATAATACTTTGCAATTCAAAATTGTATATATTTAAAAATAATATACAAGTATTAATAAAATTTGTATGTGAGACATATCAGCATACTTAATTTCTTATTAATAAAACAGTTAAATTTTCTTTTTTCTATGCAACTTTTTAATTAACTGAACCACATAGTAATCGAAAATGTGTATAATAAAAACTTATAAATATTTATTTGTAAATATTATCGAATTGGTTAATACTTTTATCTAACTTGTGTAATAAATAAAAAAAATATGTAATTCAAAAAGTAAGTTTATGAAAACAATTTCATTGGTATAACATATATAAATTTCATAATTGTCATATATTGCCAACAGACAGTCATATTATTTGATATTTTTATAATTGTTTGCCAACAAAATTATTCAAGTTACAGATTTTCACGCATAGAAAGTATTAAATTATAATTTCAAACATACATGCCTGCAAAATTTATATGTAACACGTCTATTAAATTTTCGTTCACACAATACGAATTTAATAGGTATTATAAACATGTTCTGTAAAGTACAACAATTATTTGTTTCAAATAGTGTTTGAAGAAAAATATTCGAAGGAAATTATACATTGGATTAAACTCGGTCGAATAGATTTTTCAAAATAACATGTAACTATATAAAAACCAAGTTTCCTTCGTCCTTTTTACCTCTTACAATCGTAATGAGTATCTTGACCTACCTACTAACACATTCATTTTGCCCTGACCTTTCACGGGGAAAGGTACATATCTTAACGGATTTACAAGACAGGCGTAACGGAGATTAAAGCATAGGATTTAAAGCATTGATTTCTATTCTTTTACGCTCTATAGATACATTTTAATTTGATTGATAAGAATTGAATATATAAAGCTGGCTGATGAATAAATATAATAAAGATACAAAAATATGAAAGAGAAGAAATAGAATAAGAAGACAATTCTACTTGAACTTACAGTGTCTTTCAAACAAATTTTCATTTGAAAAGTTATTGATCGAGGCACTAAAGAATTTTTAATATTTTTGGCACTATGATAACTATCACAATTTTACCATAGAAAGAAAAAGAAAAAATTAAACAATTTGTAAAAAATATTGTTTATACAAGTATTAATAAGCAAATATACCTAATAATGTAAACTTTATCATGATTCTTATTCAATTTATGTGACTTATATGTAATTTATATTGGAAAAAAAATATTTTATTAATGCCTACTAATTTACATGTATCTGTAACAATACACGAATTTTATTTACGTTTTCACTTTTCTTGGTATTTTATAATTTTAAAATTATAAACATCCATGAAATACGAATGAATAAAATATTAATTAAAATCAAAATCTGAAAACATTTGAAGAATTCACTTTGAAGAAATCTAAAAATCCGTAATATTTATTTTACATTAACCGTTAGTATAATCGTTCGTATAATCGGTCGAAGAGGAATATAAAAATGGAAAAAAATATTCAGTGAGAATTACTATTTCGCTGAATCAAATGGATTCTTACATCGACTTTTCTTAAGAAGTCATATGTGATGCAACTCTCTCACATCAATCATCGATGTATTTGTAGTAACTTTCTATAATTTTCCCACTGGTTACTTACTTGGATAAATAGTTTCTATCAAAACAACATTGATATGTTAAAAGTGAATAACAAAACGCGTTCTTTATATTAAGAAAATAATAGATGAGAAAAGATGTCATGTTTATGAATTGATGTCAAAGTAAAGAAAGAGAAGAATCTCTATAGCAATTGTAAATTATAGTAAATATAGTAAATATATTTTTAAAGATTTAAATTTTTAGACTTAAATGTTTAAGGAAAAAGAACTTATTGATAGTTAACCGTAGAATTTGCATAATAATCGATTGAAACATAACAGATTTCGTAACATAATTCATCCTACGAAATTTTTTATTCTTTATTTTATAACATTATAATTTGAACGATGTAATCAAGCAGTTATATTATGTGAATTGCGTCTGAAATTACGCAGTCCGTAGTAAAATTACTTGTTTCGTTTTCAACTGTTTTGTTTTGTGTTCCAACATTGTTCTTTTCAAATGATTTATAGCTTTTCATAAAAGAGTATTAATTTCTTCGATATTTGCGAAAATTTTGTTTGAAATTTATTGTTATAATTTTAAATTGTTTATATTTATTAAAATTGCTTTATAATTTTAAATAATTAAATATTAATACATTAATTTTAATTATATGTTAATACATAATTTTAATTGTATATTAATACATAATTTTAATTGTGAAATAATTATTCTAGGAAATAGGGATTTCATTCTAAAGAAAATACTTTAATCTATAAAAAAAAACATCTAAAAGTTAAAATTGATTTTTTTCCCATTTTAATCTCGTTTTACCAAAGAATATCACGTATATTATTTTTTCCTCGTTACACAGAATTCAATTAAATAAAAAGTGTCATTTATAATCTTTTAGAGAAAAAGTTCGAATATTTTATGAAAACATTTCTTATATGTTCAGTGTGTTGGTAAATAAAATTGTATGAAATAGACAAAATTTTTCGCTTATTTTTGATCTTATATGATATTCAAAGTAATTATGTGGTATATAATTGTAATTGTCTTAATGTTTTCATATGATATAAAAAAATATGTAGTATTCCGTTAAAATATATATATATATCTCTGTGTGTGTTGTGTAACCATAAAAAAAAAGTTTAATTCTGTAATTTCAGTTATGACCAAGATGGTCACATTCCACTCCGTGAGGAAATCATTAAAAATTAACAATCCATTTTCTCTCAGTGCTTGTTCCAACAGTAAATTCTTCATTTCACTTCCTCATTTCTAGTTTTCTTATATCTCTCGTATTTTGCAATAAATTCGAAATACAATTGACATTAAAATAAAATTAAAAAATCGGTCTTTTCAACGTTCCAAGAATTTGTTTCAACTTCGTTATTCTGAATATACTTTCAACTTTCAGATCTTTCTTACATTTCTCGCGGTGGCTCACAGCCAGGAATATTTCCGGCAACCGGAAAAGATCATTAGTGATAACCGGAACCTCGGTGACAATCGTGGCCACTATTCGTTCACTTATGAGACCGAGGGCGGTATCGTGCAAACAGAGACCGGAAGCCGAAAGTACGCAGGCACGCCGTCTGAAACTCAGCTAATTCAAGGATCCGTACAGTATAATGCTCCGGATGGTACGCCAATAGCGATTAGCTGGACCGCTGACGAGTTTGGTGCTCAAGTAGCAGGTACTCACATTCCAACACCGCCGCCAATACCGCCAGCCATTCAGAGAGCTCTCGATTGGATCGCGAAACAACCCTCGACACCGGAACCTGAGGAAGTCGCCAAAGACTCGCCAAGTCAACAAAATGCCGTTCCAGCAGCCAGCACTAATCGACTACATAAACCATTACGGCCGAGTCAACGAAATTGATTGCTCGTGATTAAAACGTTAGAATAGTCATTAGAACAAGTCTATGTTAGCTCTTAATAATGTACAAAATAAAATTTGTATTTTCGTAGAAAATTCATTTGTCATTTCATCGACGAACGTTTCATCTTCAATCTGTTTTTCAAGTGTTTTCATTCTTTAAGTCTTTTGTAACAATCGACGTATTTATTATTGCGATCTCATGATGCGAAAATTGTCCGCATTTTTTTTTTTTTTTTAATCTACTTGATTGCTCGTCTTCTTTTTTGTTTCATCGTGTAACGATGATTTACGAGCAATTGTATATTTAATCGCTCGTGTCAATTTTTCCGTGTCGAGTGATACTTAGTTCATAAACATGCATCTATATATATATATAGAGAGAGAGAGAGAAAATATTGCATCTTTTTTCTACATTTGCTATTGCAATCATGACTAGAACTAAATGCTTTCACGCAGTGTACAGAAATATTTTTATGCGTTGTTTTGAAAATAATTCATGGACATAGACATGGACAAAGTATTAAAAATTGCAAATATATAACTTTTTGTCAATACTGCTGAACTTGGATGATATTCGAAAGAATCGTTATTTCTGTGATGCTGATACTTAATTACGTATTTGTGTCTTGTTTGCGTCATAATATAAAAAAAA